GACATAACCGTTAGCAGCCCAGCACTCAATGCACCGTGCCACCAGGGCCTCTGTCTGGCATAACAGATGACCACTTTTTATTGAGTCCTTACTGTGTACCAGGATTCTAAGGGACTAAATGCACTGCCTTTAACCTATAACAAGAAAATGCTATTATAGGTTTTGAGAACTAGAGAGGTTAAGTGACTAGCTTACAGTCACACTGCTAGTAGGTAGCAAAACCGAAGTTGAATCCAATTTTGTTGACTCGTGGCTTTCACCATATGGGATGATCGCTTCTCTTTCATTCACCCAGTCTGTGTTGGAGTGAACACCACGGGCCAGGCACCGTCCTAGGGGTGGAGATGGTACCTGCGGACCTTGAATTCTAGTGAGGGGAATTCCCACCTTCTCTCATAATCGGTTTCCTATGTTCCAGTTTTATAACCACACTTTCCCCCAGAATGCTCCTGAAAGGATTCTTTTTCTTGAAAGTAGACTGAGTAGTTTCTTGGCTCTTGGACTCTCCACCCCTGCTCCCCTCCACCCCAGCTCCAGCTCCCAGTGAGCCTCGTATTATTGGGGGGCAAGGGTGTGGGCAGCGAGGTGGCACTGGGGCGTCATGAGTTCATCCATACCTGGAAGCTTTTTCCCACAGCGAGGGGAAGGGTCCTAGCACACGGAGTAGGCTTTGCCCTCCCTGGGATGTAATTCTGAGGTCGGGGAGGGTAAAGGTCAAGAAATCAGTGCTATGTCAGTTCTTACTGGGAGCTGCTATTAGGGCTGGTTTCAGAGAAATACTTGTGGCCAGGTTATTTTAGTCGGGATAGTATCTGTATCCTGTCTCTGGAGCCTGTCCTCCGGGATATTAAGAGAGATTAGCCGGAAGTTCTCGTTCACGTTCAGATCAGATTCAGGTACCTAGCTAGAGCCCTTCTTTGCTTCAGAGGAGAGAGGAAGGACAAAGTCGGGACAGAGTTTTCACCAAGAACAGCGCACTTACAAGACTTACAGGGAGTGTCTTGCTAGTGTTCGTGAGACTCACTGAATGGAGGGCGTGGGGCTGGACATAGTCATCCATTTCCTGGTGTTGGGGCTGGAAGGTGGCGTCTCCGTCGTCATCATAGCTTTCAGCTTCTGTCCACTCCTCAGGAACTGCCATGTGCCAGACTTCGGAGCCCATTGCCATTCCAGTTGGTTCTGACTCACAGGACAGGGCAGAGTAGACCTCCCCAGACGGTGTCCAAGACTCTGGTGGTGACAGAAGCAGGCTGCTACCTGGTGTTCCTGTAGAGTGCTTGGTGGGTTCAGCCTGCCCACCTTTTGGTTAGCAGGCAAGCACTTAACCACCAGGGCATTCCACATGCACTACAGACTCCTGCAGAAGGAGGTTTTATTGTCTTTGGTAAGAAAAGAAAACCAAGGCTCACGGAGGTCAAGAAACTTCTCGAGTCACACAAATAAGGAAGGCAAAGAGTTGGTGTTGAACTGAGGTCTGCTTGGCCCCCAAGCCCCTGGCTCCTTCTAGGATGTCTTCACGGACTGACCG